GATTTACCTTTCATATATTAAGGATAGGAAAGTTCATCTTCTTATGTCCATCTTTCTTAGACCAGAAACACATGCCATTCGGCTTGTATTCTTCGGCAAAATAAGACACTATCCAAGTTCTATTTCTAATCATGTTTGAACAAGTAAATTGTCTTTGAGTATTACAGACAACGGATTGAAAAGACATTTTGAATTCCTGGGATCATGCAAGCATAGTCTTTACTCAGTCAAGTGTTTTCGAATCATCAAACATTGATCCCTTCAAAACAACATTTGAATAAATTCACCAGCACCTCAAAACACCGAATCCCCGCAGGCCACTGAGTGTGGACGTCAACGGTTCAAACCATCGCAAGAGGAGGGATAAATCCCATTAGCTTAACGTACTGCCAAACAATACTTAACTAATAGTCGGTTGAACTTTTGGCCAATGCAATTAACTTATAAAAGAATAAAAACGACCTTTTTCTTTGGGAATATCGTAATTATTTGCACTTTAAGCGTAACCCATTAATTGGTCCTAAGTTTACTACCAATATTATACGTCCACCTTTGGGTGACCCGTACGCTTTTGAAATAGCTCACTGTAACCATCCCGAAGGAGATTCGTACTTGTGAACTGTGAAATAAAATGTCCTTTGGGCTCGATTTAAATCACCTCACTGACAAACCTATAATGGAGGCCTTGGATGTTATTTATTTCAACCCATTACACACTTAATATAATTTTTAGTTTAAAGGGATTTTCCTAAACCTGCTCCTAATAATTCAATTTTCACATAGAACAATTAAATCACATAAGGACATACATGATTAAAAGGCAATAATAAATGAGGAACTAAGATCCAACTATCATGGCCATTTAATCATTCTCCAATCTTTCGAAAATGCAATCCTGGTCCTTGTTGAAAGGGTCTTCTGATTCAGGACTTGGAATTTCCTTTTTCGCCGTGACTACCACTTTTCATCTTGAACAAGTCGTCATCGGGAAAGTCTCCATCAGGTCTCCTCCAATGGCGTGTGTCTACTGCCGCCGTTGCCCGTACTTCTGTCGACCTGGGTCCATGCGTATCCATCTGCAAACACCTTAACAATGATTGTATCTGACAACAAGCTGCCTACGAGTATGTCTGCATTTGTACAGTACCACGTATCCCGTCAACTACGGGTTCGCGGGGTAGCCCGCCTAGTCTCATCGAGAGATCTTTGCGCTTACCGGGTCCAACAAACAATTACATAATATAAATTACATACATTGATCCTATGGCCTCCACGCAGGGGTCATACATGAATGATCTAGTAAAGAATTTAAAATATGTTGTGTCCCATCGCGCGAATAAATTATTACAAACATTCACCAATCAAAAAAAATCCTCGACATGTCCGAGACTTATAAAACTACATACAATAATTAAAACAAACATAGATGCATTCCATAATAGTCGTATTCAAGAATACATGTAAACAATTACTTATTTGCAATCCTAATCTATTATGCGTTGCGTCCGTACACAATTAATTCACATATATCACGCAAGCCCTAATTCGAATAGTGCACAAAGACGAATTAGCTTAGGCTCTGATACCAGTTGTTGGGTTCTATTAGGAACATCAGCAATGTGCACATTCAAATCTGTTGAATAATAAATCCTAACGTAGCGGAATCTATAGTAAGGATTAGGACTTGCAGTTTTAAAATTTTCGCCGACTCTGAGACGTTTCCGATTTCCGTTGATGGAGATCGTCTGAACACCAAAATCCAATGGGCAGCTGGACTATGTCTTTCTCGATTCTAATCGAGTCATCAGGGTGCTCTAATCGCTCATCAAGCTCATCAGATCGTCTCGAACCATCCGTAAGCTAGTCGGACCATTCAGACTGCTCGGGAACCGGCTTGAGACTGCTGGACCAAGTTGAACTGGATTGGACCTTGCTGGACGCGTCTGAACCGGTCTGAGGTGAGCTGGGCTCAATACTGGACTGTACTAAAGAGAATTGGATCGCGAGCATTGCTGCAATTAGGTCGGGACACGCACACAATGGGCTAGGAAGCGCGCTGGGAAGCTGGGCCAGCATGCGGGCTTAATCGGGCTTCTCGCGGGCTGAGCTGTGAGGTAGCGCGGGCTCCAATGCGAGCTGCCAGATGAGAGATTGATCGGGCCGCGCGGGCCAAGACGCAGGCCGCATAGCCTGCGTGTCTTTCCTTTCCTCTGCTGGGCAGCGACACGCGATTGGGCCTATGCAATTTAGGCTTCGTCGTTGGACCTGGGCATCGCGTGGACAGGACCTCCTCCACGCCTGGGCTGGTGGACACGCACGCGTGGACGAGCTGAAAACACAGGGCCTGGGCGCACGCTTCATCTGTGAACGCGAACAGTATGCGGGAATAGGAACTGGGCGAGAATTTGAGTGTACTGCTGGGGAAAAATTCCGGCGAGTTGAACGTATGTATATATTCGACGGGATCCAAATAACAACCTTCAAATCTTCTATTTTATGACCTTTACACGATCTCTAATAAATCTTGGTGGAGCGATTTGTTTGATCTCCCAAAGCTTCTCGATCATCTTCTTCTAAGACCTCACGGTGCTAACCGAATTTTTCTCGAAAAAGAATTTCTCTCTTTCTTTCTCACTTAAAGAGGCCGAATTTCTCCAGCCCTTCGGGGAAAAAAAGGTGTGATGCATCTCTTAGGAGGCTAAGGGACTTAGTGTATTTATAGGCTACAATAGGGAACAAAATGATGTGCTAATTATGGGCTTATTCCTTTAGGTTTAGGAATCCTTATTATCTTTCATCTCCTTTTCTCATCTAGGACAATATTCCTAATATTTAATTACCTTCTAGAAGACTCCATAGTCTCCTAACCCTAGGTAATATTCTAGAAGGAATATTCCTATCCTTAGGCAAATATGGTATATAATTAATTCCTAATTTCTAATCTAGAATTAAATAATAAAACATTCCACTAGAGTAATATTATTGTTCTCCTCATTTAGCTCTGAATTACAATTAACTCGTCAATTAAATATATTAATCTAATTGACCGATTTATCTCCCTATGTTTAAGATATAACGTTCGTTGATTAATTAAATTACTGACAAAATAATTAATCAATTTCTTATTCATTTCTGAAACTAGTACCACTCAGATCCTTAATCATTATGTCGGATAATACATCCGCCTGTAGGGCTTAACATAATATTCATTCCTGAGCTCATTTCGGGGATGTCATCAATGCAGCTCACCGGGACACAGTGATCGTAAATAATTTATAACGGCACATCATATAAACACACTTATTTACCAAAATACCGAGTATGTCATCCTAGCAAAATAGGAATCACCCTTAATAAATCAAATAAATAAGTAATGAATACATATGCCCATTTTATATTATCTTACAGCTTAAGAGTACGCATCAATTACTGAAGGTCTAGATTACAACAATGGTCAGTGAGTCTCATAATCCTATCCTTCTTTGGTCCTGTTCAGCACCTATCATAAATGCTAGTGTAATTCTCCAGTCAAAGACCAACTGAATCAAGAATACACTACCGTCTTTGTCCAAGAGGGGTCTCACTGTCTGTCTAGACTGTGAACGAATAGTTTAGTCTTACAAGGAACCGATAGGTGATCTTTCTGTTCGAAACACTTCGAACCACACTATATCAGTGTAAGACAAGGAGTATGATTGCATAAATAAATAAATTGCAAGCATATGTACTTTGACCGAAACATGATGGCCAGATCAAAATGGAATTGCTAGAATATGCAAAACATAACTTTTACAACATACCTCAACCATGCAGCAAGAAAACGAACAGGTCACGAATGAGATTGGTTCTCTTTTGATCTTCCGTCCCCATCTCGTTGTCCAACATGATTATTATTGTTTTATTGGAGATTGAACTATGCTTTATTTTTGGGATTTATGCATGCTTGGGGATTTGAACATGGATTATTGTTTTGATATTATGAACTGGAAATTTGGATATTCATATGTTGAAATTTTATTTGTGGCATGGTGAATGTTGGCATGAGATAATTGTGTGGGATGGTTGATTCCTCGTTTGGTTAAGTGTGGACTTAACTGTTTATGTGGATTTTTGTGTAGCGCCCGTTAATTAAATCTTTAAATTGATATTTCAAAAATTAACCCTGATTTTTGAAAAAAATAATTCGGTATTTTTCTATTAAAATAACGGGACATTACACATGGGTTCTTTGGGGGCCCAACTCGGATATCAACAAATTGTATCACATATTAATTGAATACTTTTAATTTATAAATCATGCGACACGAGATTCGTAGTAGTTTATATACAAATATCATATTTAAAATCTTTGATATTTATAATATATTGTAAATTTATAAATCTTAAAATTTATATATTAAATAGTTAAGACCCACGAAAATAAATTAAGAAAATTAAAAATTCAACCAACTTTATATTATTACAAACTTGAAATATTGTTTTGAATAGAACTAGCATATAATTTTATATTATTTTATAATATTTAGATAATAAAATATTAATTTATAGTATACTCCATGAATACAGGATATAAACACTAGGCCATATACGCAGTAATCAACACGATTACGCAGTGTGAAAATAAAAACACAACCCAACACTAGTTCGCAGTATGAAAACGAAACGGAGAAAACAGTATAATCCCTAATTAGACCCTAATTGGTAGGCACGAATTTCCCCTTTTATCCATCCAGATGGATGGAAGAGAGAATGCTGATCTGATGGCCGTAGATTATTGCCAGAACTTATATGCATTCACAATCCACAATGACCAACTTAAAACAATCATTTTGACACAGAAATTCACATGTAAAAAAAAAAAAAAATCCAAAACAAACAGTCGTTAGACAAGTTCACCTATAACAGCACACAAGGAGTCTCGGGTCAAGTCAGCCAAAATTAAACAAAAATACATATCACCCCAAATTCTCAAAAGTACTCTCAATCAAACCCTATCCTCCTCAAGAATACTTGTAAAACGCCACGCTCTTATCGTCCGACACGCTCGCCAGCAGGCACGACCTCACGTCAGTCCTCGACACAGGCCCAAACGCCACAGCCCAAACCTGGTCGGCATGGCCCGTCAGTATCTGGGTGGAGGCCCGCATCTTGAGGTCCCACAGCCTCACGCTCCGGTCACTGGAGCCCGTTGCAACCGCAAGCCCATCTGGAGATGCATCCACGCTCAGAACCCAGCCCGAGTGGCCCGACAACGACATGACCAGTGCCTTGCCACTCGAGTCGTACGCGTGCACTCGGCCATCGTCCGAAGCCGAGAAGAGGATTCGGGAGTCGGCTTGGGCCCGCGCGTAGACAAGGCTGCGAACGGGCATTCGGTGGCCCTCCAGGTGGTGGGTGAACTTGGCTCGAGCCACGTCGAAAACAGAGATGGTGCCGTCGGTGGATCCGCACGCCAGGTGGCGCCCATCGGGGCTCCATGCGACTGAGAGGACGAACTTCTTGCTGCTGTGTTTCTCAGAGGGCTTCGGGCCCTCGGGCCTTGGGATATCGAGGGTGGCTATCAGCTTCCACTCGGCCGTGTCCCAGAGCTTCACGGAGGTGCTGCCGCCGCCAGCTGCCGCCAGTGTTGTGCCCTGAATGGATGAGGATGAAAGGATTGTTTTGAGTTTTTGAAAGTTTTCTATAAGATTCGATAAGTTCGGCCAAGGATTTTACAAAATGGATTGATTTGTGACATTGTACGATAAAGAAGGAAAAGAATATCATCATGCTGAGATATTTATTTTGTGGAATCATGAAAACACTTTCCCGAACGATAAACGTTAAGTTAGTATAACCTCAAAACGTTACCACAATTCATAGAACATCACGACATATATCAAAATGCTTCACTTGTTATGGTACATCTAAATTTATAAACTTTTCTATTCCCTTATCCATAGTCATTTTAAACAAAGGACAATGAATTAAAGGAGCTACGTGCCTACGGGCACATACTGCAAAATCAAATTCATATTGTTTCATAACCGAGCACATTAATTCAAAAAACAATTTCACAATGTTTGATAAATGCTTAGAATTTTATAAATCCAATAACTTATTTGCACTGATCAGGCGATCGGTGTACGGTCAATGTAAACATGTCGAAAAACATGAAATAAGTGCCAATTAGTATAATTGAAAACAATGAGAACCTGAAACTTAACTATCAAAGTTTCAGACAGTCAGAACCAGTATAAGGCAACATGTATTCACTAATATTCTCGATGCCTGATAGTTATTTCAAAGAATACCTTTTCCATTCCTCTACATAAGAGAGGGGCCAATTAAGGGAAGCACTTTTATCCAGCTCTACCATGGACTTTTTGAATCAGAAGAAACATTACATAACAAAATGTCTACGTTCTCTTGAAAATATAAAAGCACTTTGGAAACCATCTATACAAACGAATATTTATAAATACAATATTTTGGATAATGGTTGTATGTGCAGAAGTTCTGGAGTTTGCAACATAAGGAGGGCTGGACTGTCAGGGTTTAGAAGACATAGTTGAGGACGAAGGAGTAAAAAATACGGATAGAGAAAAAACACATTGAAAGGGCTATCTGCTTTTCTAGATTTGGGCCATAGTTGACAAGATGGAATATTTTCACAGACACGATACAACTGCAGCATCCGATATCTACACCTGGGAATCTATTATTAGTTTTGTTAACGGGTAATTACTAAAATGAAAGAGAATATAATGCAAACTGCATTTTTTGCAAAACAACCTCTAAAGACCAAGCCAATTACCCCCCATTCCACAAGAATTAAAAATTAAAAACAAATGTAAATGGAAAAAAAATTCACGTGGATATCAGTCGTGTCCGTCTTGGTCTTAATTTATCATTATGGTAAGTGCAGACCAAAATCCTCAAATAATCTGAAACTGGTTTCATTGGCAACAGGAGCAAACAAGGAAACTTAATAGTTTTAGAACTTTCGAATAGCACATTAGCTCTTTTGATCATTCACCAATTTCCCCCCTATCAAGCATGACATTAATTCTTCATAGAAGACCAGAAAAGGCAAAGGCGATCCCTTCTTTTTGGCATTTGAGGGACAAATCTGCTGCTTCCAGAGAATACAAACAATTTTGATCGCATCTTTAAAGTCTCTTTCAGCTCCATTCGATTTGAAAAATCAGGATTCTCAGGCACTCTCACTTTACAATCTTATAGCTAACCCAATTAACTCCAGTTTGAGTTTTCACAAAACCATTTACCAGTCTAATTTCTTTCATGGAAAACTAAGCATGTCTTACCTTTTATTTGTATCGCCCAACTCCGATTTGACAAGTACAGAAGATACTTCTAGTCGAATGACTGTAGTGGTGGTTTACTCCCAGCACCTTTTGCTTATTTTTAAAAGGTCCATAAGTTCACTTTTACATTAATTCTTATACATTCTCTACTTTAATTGCTGAAAGAAACAAGACTCTTGTTCAGCTGTTCCAATAAAAAGTGACAAAACGGCACACAAGCATAATATAAATGCATTTACAAGCGAGCTAATCACCTGAGGATTGAACTGCAGCTGCCATACTTCAGAAGGCGGAGCTTCCAGAGTGGCAATGGTGTTGTTGGTGGCGACGTCAAAAACTCGCACGAAGCTGTCGAGGGAGGCGGACGCCGCAATCCTTCCGGACGGGTGTGCGGCCACCGACACGACGCCGAGGCAGTGGCCGGCGTTCGTTTGGACCTTCTCAGGGCCCTCCGGGCTCCACAGCCGCACCGTCTCGTCGAGCGAACCCGTCAGGAGCAGCGGCCCCGAGTCCTCGGTCTCCGGCACCCACGCCGCCGTCCAGACCGAGTCCTCGTGAGCGTTCGGAACGGTGTTGAGTGGCGCTAATTTCATGGCTGTGGAGATTTTTTATTTTCTGTGTTAAACCCTAGCTTGGAATGGAAATTAAGGGGGTATTTTGATTGTTGTGGCACAATTATTCGTTATACGAATAATGCTAAGGAGCCAACTGTTGGTTCCGTTACGGAGCCAACAATTAATTATACAGCTTTATGTGGGGCTGTCCCACATGACTCTAATGTGAGAAAGCCCCACATGAAGCTGTCCCATTGACTGTTGGCTCCGTTAAGGAGCCAACAGTTGGCTCCCTAACATTACTATTAAACTTTAACCCATAATATTATGCAATTTTTTTTTCTTATTTAATTTATCAATCAAATTAAGGTTTCTCTCTTCTGCCATATTTTCTCCAAATCTTAGAAACCTCTTCTCTGCATCGCACCTCCGCGGCGTGTATCGATTGTGGCCAGGTATTTGGGCAGCATGACGTTGAAAGCCACACTCAGGCCATCTTCTTCTCTTTACTCTACTCTACTCTAGAGTAGAGTTATACAAAAACCTAGTTTCATTGCAAAGTACTTTTTTGCTCCAAAATCGAGCCGGATTAACCACAATTGCAATCGACTCTGGAGTACACCAAATGCACGCTCTACATCCTTTCTGCAGGCTTCTTGTTTCATTGCAAAGTACTTTTTTTTGGGGCTACGTGGGTCACGATTAGTTTGGACAAGAGTTGACCATTTTGGATATATATTATCAGCTAAATAATATCTCATATTATACTTTTTCCCTTGGATGACATAATGTGCTGGAGGGGCAATTCCTTGACTAAGGTCAGAAAACAAATGCGACCTCTCTAGCACATTAATGTCATTGTTGGATCCAGGCATACCAAAGTATGCATTCCATATCCAAATATCATAATCGACTATAATTTCTAGGATAATAGTTGGACACTTACTACGTCCTGTATACGCCCCTGCCCAAGTTGTTGGACAATTTTTCCACAGTCAATGAATACAATCTAGACTACCTAACATTCCGGTAAATCCACGTTCTTACCATTATAAAGGAGTCTTGCAACATCATTGGCGTTAGGAGATCTTAAATATTGCTCGCCAAAGACCTCCATAATAGCACGACAAAATTTCTTCATGCACTCAACTGCAGTGGACTCCCCAATGTTTATGTACTCGTCTGTCGTGTCTGCTGATACTGCATATGCCAATATTCAAAGTGCAACAGTTAACTTTGAAATGTAGACAACCCGAGTTTTCCAACTCCATCTTTTTGCTACAAAAAAATAATTATCATGATTTTTTACAGTATTTGCAATACGGAAAAATAAATTTCTAGACATTCAAAAACGCCTACGAAACATGGCTTCATTAAATTTTGGATTTCAGAAAAATAATCATTAAAAAGACGATCTGCGACCGCTTCTCGATCGCGAAATTTTGTTTTACGACCAAGGACTGAACCTCCATGACTCTGTCGGAGTTGTTGAGAAATTCTTGTACAAGAATGTTATTATTATAAATTTGTTGAGATATCAATTGTTGCTCTACATCGTAGCTATTTAGTAACCGCTCAAGCTCATCATCAGATGAACTTGAAGAAGAAAATGCAAAAGAACAACCAATATGATCGGGATTCATATCTTCTCAAAAAAGGGAAAAGATAATGTATGAAAATATTGTTAAGCATACACGGTATAAATAGTGATTAAGAAATCTTGTATGAAATTTTTTGACCGTTGGATGAGATTTCCATAAAATCTTGTTCATTCAATTCTTATCTTTTTATCACTTCAAAATAATATTTAAAAAATTACTAGAAAAAATAAATAGATGAATTATTGTGGATGAGTCTTATCATCTTGCCTCGTGGGAAATAAATCAACTTTTTTGGGGTTGATGAACCTTATCAAAATACTTGCAGCACAAAATCTGCAACTTTCAATCTGAACCGTCAATCCATATTTTCTTATCATGATTTTGAACTGTAAGATTCTTATCTAAAAAACCAAACAAAAATTAGTTTCACTCTATAAATACACTACAATACAATTCACAAAATTCTACAACTACTACACAAAACAACCAGTTATTATTTATTTATTTTTAATCTAACTTTTAAGAGTCATCTCTCATATGGGAACCAACTATACTATAAATGAAGATAAACACCTTTGTCAGTCCTATATGGAAATTTCTCAAGATCCAAAAGTGGGTATATATCAAAGTAAGAGATCAATTTTGGCTTCGTGTAACAAATGAATATAATTCTACAAAGCCAAATCCAATGTGGCCAGATCGTCCACAAAGATCGATCCAATGTCGCATGGGTACTATCAATACCGCTAGTAAGTTGTTCAAATCCTGCGTGCAACAAATTGAAAACGCAAACATCAATGGAGCTTCTGAACATGATGTGGTAAGAAAAAATTATTCATATAATTTAATTTGTCCTTTAACAATATTAATAGCTACTAATGTGATTTATTGTTTTATTATAGATGGAGCATGCGAATATACTATATATGTAGAACCCAAAAAATAAAATAATCGACCATTCAAGTAAGATCATGTGTGGTTGATTATGAAAGATTATGCATTGTTCGAGCGCACATCACAGAGGCGTAACTCCATTTCGTCTCAAGCGCAAGCAGATGCACAATCGGAATATCCGATCTCACTGAATCCAGAGCTATCTAATTTCTCAATTAATTGAAGTGATGAAAATGCTAGTGGTTGCTCATCTTCAGAACGACCGACATGTATTAAAAAATCCAAATTAAAGAGAAAACAGAGAGAAGATGTGTGCTGTTATAAAAACAATGAAAGATGAAAATGAAAAATTTTGAGAGATTATAATGAATTATATGGTAAAGAGGGATCACGATAGTGACATGATAAGACAAAAACTTGAAATCCAAAGACAAAAAAATGAATGCAAAGACAATTTGTTGAGACTACTACATGGAAAGAGAAAAAGAAAATTTTATTGATGGAGTTGAATTCTATACCAGATAATCGCAGACGTGAATATTTTAAAAAAGAACAAGAAAGAATTTTGATAAAAAAAAAAGAGAAGAACAATCATCTCATGCGCCCGAAACCAATAACACTTTTGATGGTTACAGCGAGTTCTTTCAAGATCTTTGTGGATCTCGGAGTGGATTGGGAGATTATTAGATTACAAATTTTATTACAATGTCATGTGTGTTCTAATTTCTTAAGTCATCTGAATTTAAGTCATGTTGTATTTTGAATTATGTATTTTGTTGTTGTTGTTGTATATTGTACTTTTAAATTTTAATAGAATCATTTTTTTACGATGATTTTTAATTCATATTTTTATACTATAATAAAAAATATTAACAAAAAGTAAAATTAATAAAAAAAAAAATGTAACTAATTATTAATTTATTTAACATAATAGTTGATTAATTTCACACATAATAAAAAACATTACATATAAAAAAAAAGAAGAAGAAGAAGAAGAAGAAGAAGAAGAAGAAGAAGAAGAAGAAGAAGTAGAGATGCTAAGTGTATCTCCACATGTGGAGATACACTGTTCATATATTTGTTATAGAGTAGAGATATAGTGCAGCACTGGGGCACTTATTTTGCTCCACCTCAGCGTAGATCAATGAAATAGCGCAACATTGGGCTTGCTCTCAGTGCATTACTGAAGCGGTAATTTCTATGCCCCGATGTTGAAAACTTCCATCTTTGTTTTTGTTAGTTAATTGTGTGATAATTAAGATATAATAATTTTTCTCAACTAACAATTAATTTGTTCAACTAATTGGTATTTGCTCAACTAATTATTTCTACTTTCCAAAAACCAAATTATTGTCATTTGCTATATATATCACATTTGCTGCAAAGTCGAAAGACACAGAACACACACGGAAGAAAAGAATTATATTAGAGAGATATAGAAAGAAAAACAGTTCAAAAGAATTGTTGAGGGATAAAAATATTTGTGATAAAAATAGAGAAAAAATTATCAAAGAGATAGTTTTATTCATATTTTTAGGTGCTCAATTATTGACTTCGTTCCAGTTCGCCGGAGCTCGTAAATCTGGTGCGCTACAGATTTAGAGACGTTTGTCGTTGTATCTTTGGGGAAGTTACGCCTGAAACGTTAGCTGTCACACAGGGCGTATTCTTCTTGCATAAAGAGTTTTACTCGCCTCGGCTAAAATCTTTACTTTTTAAAGTTGTAATTTATTTTCCAGTTCAATTGTAATTTTCTATTTTTAGATTATTTGTCAGAACTGAAAAATACATGTCAGTTCGTAGGATTTCCGTGTAATTTTACACCAAGTAACCAACAATCGCAAGAAGAATATCTTCCTACTGAACTGATGGCATCCACCGGAGCAGGTTCCATCTCTCAGTAGCCGATCAACAATTCTATTCAGCATTATCATCCTGTATGTGTTGTTCAGGTCCCGACTGCTGAAAAAACCCAAAAAATTCAACGAGCTTGACTTTAAGAGGTGGCAGCAAAAGATGCACTTCTACCAAACCACCTTAGGTTTGACAAAATATCTGAAGGACGATCTTCCTCTTGTTGCTGAAAATGAAACCAACGTTGAACTACGCATTGCGTACGAAGCTTGGGGCCAAGGTGATTATCTTTGCCAGAACTATGTCCTGAATGGACTTAGTAATGAATTGTACAATGTGTACAGCTCTGTTGGTTCTGCGAAGAAGCTTTTAACTGCCTTGGAGAACAAGTACAAGACTGAGGATGCCGGGGCGAAGAAATTCGTCGTCGGCAAATTTCTTGACTTCAAGATGGTTGATACGAAGACTGCCGTGTCACAAGTGCTAGAGTTCCACCTGATCTTGCACGATATCCTTGCTGAAGGAATAACTTTGAGTGATTCATTCCAAGTTGCGGCAATGATCGAAAAGTTGTCGCCGGGTTGGAAATACTTCAAGAACTACCTCAAGCATAAGAGGAAAGAAAATAGTCTTGAAGACTGGTGGTTCGTCTTCGTATAGAGGAGGACTACCGTAATTCATCGGGGAAAGCCACGATGATGGAGGCTCATGCTAACTTGCTGAAGCAAGATAACTCGAGCAAGAAGAAGTCCCTTGAAAAAGGGAAGCAGCAAGCCAAGGTATGGAAGTTTACCGACAACTGCTATAACTGTGGAAAGCCAAACCATATGGCTAAGGATTGCAGGAAGCCTAAGAAGGCTGGGCAAAAGAAAGCACAACCGAGTGCTCTTGTTGCTGAACACGGCCATGTGCTGGGTGAACTGACCGACTTTGATATGTCGGTTGTGGTGTTTGAAGCCAATATGGTGGATAACCCAATAGAGTAGTGAATCGATACTGGTGCCACTCGTCATTTGTGTTTCGATAAGGAGGTATTCTCTGAATACACTCCTGCTAAGGATCGAAACTTCACATGGGAAACTCCTCAACGTCTGATGTGGCTGGAGTTGGCACTGTGGTGCTGAGGCTAACTTCTGGAAAGGAGTTGAAGCTTAAAGATGTTCTGCATGTCCCAGACATCCGCAAGAATTTGGTCTCCGGATCTCTTCTTGTTGAGCATGGATTTAGGCTGGTATTTGATGCTAAGAAGCTTGTTTTTAGTAAGTTTGGAACATTACTTGGTCGTGGCTATCTCGACAAGGGTTTGTTCAAAATGAATGTAATGGACATGAGCCGTGTAACTGTTGAAAATGAAAGTCTATTTCTAGTTATACCATTGAGTGCTCTGCTTTATGGCATATTAGATTGAGACATGTAAATCTAAATGCAATTAAACGGTTGATGAATTTAGATTTAATTCCTAATTCTAAAACAGAATCACATAAAAAAATATGAAATTTGTGTTGAAGCAAAAATGGCTAAGTTGCCTTTTCACTCAGTGGAAATGAGTACTAAACCATTAGGCTTGATCCATAGCGATGTATGTGATATGAAAAGTGTGCAAACAAAAATGAGTAAAAAGTACTTTATTACTTTTATCGATGATTGCACAAGGTTTTGCTACTTATATTTGTTAAGAAGCAAAGACGAGGCCGTGGAAACGTTTAACATCTATAAGACCGAAGTTGAAAATCAACTCGACAAAAAGAATAAAATAATCCAAAGTGATAGGGGTGGGGTGTATGTAGCTCTTTTTGAACAAATATGTTCTGAATATGGCATAATTCATCAAACTACAACCCCTTATTCTCCACAGTCGAACGGTGTTGCTGAACGCAAAAACCGTACGTTAAAAGAAATGATGAATGCCATGTTGATAAATTCAGGACTACCTCAAAACACGTGGGGGGGGAAGCAGTTTTAACAGCAAATCATATCCTGAATAAAATACCACTTAAAGGGAAAGATGGGACTCCTTACAAAATGTAGAAAAATCGTAAGCCATCTTATATATACCTGAAAGTGTGGAGGTGTTTGGCTAAGGTTATAGTACCTGAACCTAAACAAGTGAGAATTGGACCAAAGACGGTCGATTGTGTATTTATTGGATATGCGTACAATAGTACAACATATAGTTTATGGTTCATAAATCAAAAAATCCAGAGGTATCTGTGGGTACCACGATTGAGTCGATGAATGCTATATTCTTTGAGAATATTTTTCCTTTGAAAGAAAGAGTAGAATCTAGTTATAATAAAAGAACGTATGAAACTGTTACGGTTGTGTACCAGATGGTACTGATGAAGAACCGAGACGTAGTAAAAGGGTAAAAACGGCAAAAAACATTTGGACCTGATTTTATTACGTACATGTTGAACGATGAACCGAGTTCCCTTAAGGAAGCTCTGTCCAGTCCAGATGGACCACTCTGGGAAGAATTTGTAAATAGCAAAATCGAGTCCATTATGCAAAATCATACTTGGGAGTTGGTTGATCTCTCTGATGGTTGTAAACCTTTAGGATGCAACTGGATCCTAAAGAAGAAATATAAAGCTGATGGATCGATTGATAAGTTTAAAGCACGATTGGTGGTCTAGGGCTTTAAGCAAAAGGAAGAGTATGATTTCTTTGATACCTATTCACATGTTACGCATTTAGCGTCAATAAGAGTGCTTCTCTCGATTGTTGTTTTGAACAATCTTGAGATTCACCAAATGGATGTCAAAACGGCATTTTTGAATTGTGAATTGGAAGAAGAAATCTACATGGAACAACCTGAAGGGTTTGTTGCACCTGGACAAGAGAGAAAGGTGTGTAGATTGATCAAATCCTTGTACGGATTGAAACTATCTCCGAAATAATGGCATTTGAAATTTGATGACGTGATGTTGTCAAATGGGTTCAAAATCAACGAATGTGACAAATGTGTTTATGTCAAGAGTACATCAAATGCATTTGTGATTGTATGTCTATATGTCGACGATATGTTGATTATGGGGGTTAGCTATGAAGTGATTATGGATACGGAAAGAATGTTGAAAAGAAATTTTGACATAAAAGATATGAGTTTGGCTGATGTAATTCTTGGAATAAGGATTATCAGAACCCGAGATGGAATTCTCTTGTCACAATCTCATTATGTAGAGAAAGTGCTCAAGAAATTTGATGCCTATGATGGTGTACAGTCTAAGTGTAAGACACCCCTTGATCTCAGTATAAATCTGGTAGTCAATAAAGGTCAACTAGTGGCTCAGTTAGAATATTCACGGATAATAGGAAGTCTGATGTACTTGACGAATTGTACACGACAAGACTTGACCTATCCGGTGAATAAGTTGAGCAAATTTACGAGCAATCCCAGTCATGAACACTGTAATGCTTTGAGAAGGGTACTTAAGTACTTGAGGTACACCCTTGAATACAGGCTAAAATACTCGAGATATCCAGCCGTACTTGAAGGGTACTGTGATGCAAGCTGGATATCAGATTCGAGAGATTCTCGCTCCACTAGCGGATATGTTTTCTGTATTGGAGGAGGTGCAATTTCGTGGAAATCCACAAAACAAACGTGTATAGATCGGTTAACAATGGAATCGGAGTTCATCGCTTTAGATAAAGCTGGTGAAGAAGCCAAGTGGCTTAGAAATTTTTTATCCGATATTCTATGTTGAAATAAGACTTTGCCTCCTGTGATGATTCACTGTGATAGCCAAGTTGCTGTAGGTAGAGCGCAAAGCAACTTGTATGACGATAAGTCCAGACATATTCATCGTAGACATAATACCATACGTCAATTGATCACAAATGGTACTATTTCCATTGATTATGTGAAGTCTAAGGAAAATTTGATTGATCCTTTGATGAAATGATTGAATAGAGATAAATTGGAAAGATTGCTAGAGGAAATGGGCTTAAAAATCCACAATGTAAAGAATAATCATAGTAGTAACTCTACCATGTTGAGTGGAGATCCCACGAACTTGGTTCAAAGGGAAACCTAAGCTATGAAAATTCAGTTGAGCACTTGGAACATATGAATGTCCAAAGTTATTCTCTAGAGCACTCCAAGTGCAAGATGACCTGTTGATTATAATGAGGGTAAGTCATATGGAATTTTAATGAATCCCTAACCTTGTAAAGGTGGAGTATTATAGGATACTCTTGATAGGGAGGTCACCTATATAAGTGTGAAGTGTGGGCCGCTTCAAGTGTAAACACTTATAAATCCATTGTATTGTCCATGGCCAAAACGGACACAACGATAGAACGAAATGGAGTTAAGACTATATTGTGTGAATGTCATTGTCTAAGTGTACATAATAAGGAATAGTTCAAGGCATTATGTCCACTAGGCCGCCAGTACATCCGATGATGTTTACTGAGAGAGGTTCAAAGCCAAAAGCTACCTTTTCTGATGCAATAGAGTTTTGTGAGGATTGAGCACAAGTGTCTGATTATATCTAATTAACACTCATGTCGAAAAACAAGAATTAGCTTACCTATATTGACAAATAATACTGAACTGTTTGAACTATGGCCTATACTTGACATAAGGAATAAATAGGGATGAAGTAGATAACTAATTTCTAATTTTATCATTTCTCTTGGATTTTGCAGAATGAAGATGATGCAATGAAATTCAAGAAGCTTAAGAAATTTGTCATGAAGTATGAAAGACTCTGGCCACACCAAAGACAAGAAGCAAGTATTTGAACTTCTTGAGGAGAAGGTAAGCTAATTCTTGTTTTTCGACATCTGTTTTTGTTTCTTAAGAATGTGTAGTTGAAGAGGTTTCTTCTAACTCTTTTGATCTTTCTACACTCTAATAACGTTCGGCAGATAAATTCAAGCTCGAGTTTTGTTGTCAATGGGAAATATGTTCGGTTAGTTGCAAAAAACTAAAGCTGCGCCTGGTTTATGGTGAAGCGCGTTCTTGTATTTGACCGAAAGTTTTTTGTACACCAGCCTCAATTCATTCAATATATTGGTTTTTGCTGGCAACAGGTTTTGTTCCAGCAAATCAGACCAATCATCAACGAACCTTTGTGCAAGTTGCTCAGATTTTGTTAAGACAATGAACAAACTATGTTTGCTCAATCTTTAATAGGCCAATGAACAAACATGGAACATCATGTTATAAACTTTGTAAGACGATGAACAAACTGCGGAACATCGCTTTTCGTCCCATGTAAGGGGTAGATTCACAAACCCAAACTCTATAAAGCATTTTTGCTATACCCATCAAGAATTGATATCGACATGTATACACAAAATCAATTACTACTGCACATTCATACTAGTAAACATCCATCAGTGTATGCTTTCGAAGGTCGGCTAGAAAATCAAAACCAAGACAACGATCAACAATATGACAGAGCACCCCATGGCCTGCAACATACAAAAAAAAAAAAA